CTGTGAAGAAGGGAGGAGGTCAAGAAGGCTTGGGAAAATTTGTTATTATGATCTGTAATATGAATTTGGCAGAAAAGAAATGGAGAACATTTCTTTGGAAAACAATCAAAGGGCAAAGTTTTCCTCTTGGAGCTGCATGGTAATTCATGACTTACGTGCTCCAAAGAAGTTTGCTGCTCTGGTGATTAGGATAGCAAAATGTTCGCTGCCTGCCTGACAGACCAAAAATGGTCATTTTTCCTCCCTTTGTCAGTATCTTTCTGTCCAGGCAGGGCCACGTGTGTGTCTCTCAGCGCACAGATAAAGAGTGACTGATGCATCTCTGCTCAGGAAGATTATAATCTAAGTTAGAAACAACACAATAAGAAATGACAAGAAGTAATAGGGCAAGAAGCAGAAATTTCGGCTTGTTCTCGCAGAGGACGACACATGCTTTCTCTGAGCTGGATCTCAGCTGCTGCTGGTGTACATGAAAAGTCAGTGTCTTCGTGGTTAACCACTTACGACACCTCAACACACACAAGCGACCAATAAAACCGAGGACCTTGAGAGCCTCCGAGATGAGTAATCTTAAGCCTCTTTGGCCGTTCCAGCTGGGGTTAATCAACAACACAAAATTAAAGTGTGGAACTTATTGCCGTCATGTAGTGTGGTGGCCAGGAGTAAAACTGAGTTCAGACAAGGACTAGACAAATTCACGGAGGAGATGTCCTTTGATTTCAAACTGCTGTTGGGTCTGGGTGCGTACTTTGGCTCCACGAGTTTCTAAAGGTCCGGTCAACGGAAGGGTGTGCCTTCACGTGGTGGATCACTCTCAGGTTGCCCGTTCCAATACACTTCCCTACGTATCTCCCATAGCCAACGCCAAAGGACGGACACTGGGACACTTGGATCCTGCTCTGTCCAGACATTTCTTACTCTATAACGAACACAATCACAAAAATAGACTGCTTAGACAAGAAAATCATGTTGGCTAGCTTTCAAAAGATATGACTCATATTTTAACAAAACATTGTATGAGACTTCTTCAGAAAGGGTTAAAACAGAGCTAAATGAAAACTCTGAAGTATTCACATAGACTAACCTCAATGGAGGGAGGCAAAATCCTGAGGCCTTCTTTGCAGTCACTGGAGGAACTGGCTCATCTAGGTGGTGTTTCAGAGCACCCTGCAAAGGCGCCCCACCACGAACCACCATCCACATCAGCACCCCAAACCGACAGAGCTCCAGCAGCCTTTATCCAGCAACAGAGGAGGACTGTATTTATTTTAGGTGGACAACTTCTATGGACTGTTCTTCCTTCATAGCCTCGAAACTATCTCCTTCTGTCAGGCTGCAAGTCTCCTCTCTTGTTTCTCCTACTCCACCCAGCCACGGCGCTTGTAGCAACTCTCCTTTTCCTTTTTTGTTCTTTGAATCAGCTGCATAAACATGCAAAATACATACAGCCACCAGCAGGCCCAGGCAACCCTGGGAGTGCAGGATACAAACCTCACGCTTAATGCCGTCTTTGTGGGATCAGTGACCGCACAGGCTTTAAAGCAGTGGGTTGCTAAGTCTATTATGTAGAAAGTCAGGTTGCTTCTACCCTGGAAATATTTTACATTCTGTTCTTTCTGCAGTACTACTAATTCCAAGTTCTTTTTAATGCTCTGAATCTGAATGGGACTCTCAATTACATGAGTCACTGCAACTACCCTTTGATTTTTTTTTTTCTTTTTTTTCTTTTTGTCACTATGTGTAATCTGAATCCACAACTGCTGGAGCCTTGTGCTTGCTCTGCACCCTCAAAGTGCCACAATAAAATGGGCTGAAACGTTATGTTCAGTTTTGAGTTGCTCAGGGCAAGCAACGCTGCCCGTGTGTGTTGCCCCCGTTGTCACCTCCTTGTGAACAGTGACAGAGAAGTGGCGGTGGCTTCGCCTTGAACACAGCCGCTCCCTGGACTGCCCGCGCTGCAGAACTGCGTGGCTGCACGCTCGGATGAGGGGGGACAGAGAGGAAAAAGGGGGAATTGTCCAGCTACCTGCAGTATCTCCCGCTGCTGGCTGACACGCTGTACTGGCTGGTGCCAGTAAGAGTTCAAACGTCCCTTTCACGCCCCAGTGAACCTATAGATGTTAGCTACGAGTTCTTTGCCAGCTTTGCCACATGTGTAACCCCCCGTTAAAGTTCACCTGTCGCATCCACGCTCCGCCATAAATAGGTGCAAGGTGGGAATGAGAGGGTACAGCCTGTGCCAGCACCCTCTCTGCCACGCACCCTCTCTGCCATGCACCTCTGGGCTGGCCCAGGATCAAACCTGAGCTCCGGAGGATTTTCAGATAGGTTTGGTACGGGCACCTGGATCAACGTGGTTTGGCACGAATCACGCGCTTAAGAGTTTGATTTAAATGGACCAGTGCTGACCTTGCACACATTTTGTGGTCAGGTAGGCAGGGTAGGTTATTGAAGAAAATGTCTTTTTCTCACTTGTGAAAAGCTTAATTTAAATCCTACGCACAGTGGCTTTTCTGGGAAAGAGAATTTTCTAGGAACGCCAGTTACAATTTTAGGAAGGAAACAATGTGGTAATTCTCAAATTCAAATCAAGTTTTGGCACAGAGGAGGAGTAGCAAGGCTTGAGAAGAAATGGTCATGGCAAAACACTATGCAACAGGTAAAAAACCTGTTTTCTCTTTTTGTCTCCTTTCCCACGTTTTCCAAGCCAGCTTCTTACTATAAAAGCTGCTTTCCATCTCTTCTAAACTTCCATCCTCTGTCAGTATAATGCAGGAAAGCACTGCCTGAAAATAGAGCTTTTCTTTCACTAGAGGATAATTACTAGTTGTTCACTGCCTCATTATAAAATCCTAGTGGAGACGGGGATTCTACCACGAAGATGCTAAAAAGTATCAATATTATACCTCATATAGGAAAAACTATTGTGTTTCACCTGTCCTCTGTCCCCTGGAAAGCCACCACTTCTCTGGCAGATGAGGTGGCATGTAACACCTCTCTCCTTCCTTTGTGCAAGACCTGCCTAATTTAAATTAAAAGCTCCGTAGGGTGGGAACCTGCTAGGAACTACGTTAAGTGTGTGTATTGTAAAGAACTATGTTACATCAACAGCGTTGCAAAAAAATCAAAGATTGTTATAGCAAAGCCTCAACAGCAGGTCCCAGGAACGACAGTGTAATTATTTTTAGAGATGACTACAGCAGTAACTCAACATGACACGAGAGACCTGAAAAACATCAAGCCTGATTTAAACCAATGGAAAAGTCAGGAATGCAGAATGGAGACTGCTCTCCATGGACCATATTGCATCTGAACATTTTGTTCCTACCCATCTATCCAAAGCATGACGTTTTGCATTTCATATTAACATTCTGAAGACATTAAAGGATTCTTCAGTTCAATGTTCATCTGCTGTGTCAGAACACGCACTCAGACTGCTCAGAGAGATGTTACGCCTACCTTTTGCTCCTCTTCCCTCCTCCAGCCTCCTAACCGTCCTCCCTCCCACTCCTCCAAAAACCTTGCAGATATTTT